TACTGAAATAAATGAACTTTTGCATGATATTCTAATTTTTCGAGTTTCACCTGTATATGGTAAGGATCAGTAGAGCTCCAACTTAATGTTTCATAATTGATTTTCAGCGAGAGGTACAAAATGGAGCAAAATGGTGGACAAAATGTCTATTAGTATCACTTCGCCTTCTGAGACAGAAAATTGTTATTAGTGTAAGCAATTAAACTTTCCAAGCAAAGATACATGGGACAAACATTGAAAGGAACTTTTGGTTTGTGTGGTAAACTTTTTCCCACTTACTGCTTTTTTTTAACTGAGAATTAGAATACATTGTTTTTGAATTTTTATTTATAGGCAGCATGATATCTGTCTGGCCTACTGAAGTATGCTAGTTTTATTTCATGTACTGTAGCTCTATGAAACCCTAATTCTAACCACCAACAGGCAACAACCTTTTTCCTGCCTGCTGTCCTGGTTTCGAGCCATTTGGAACTTCCTGCCAACTTCTCCACTGATTTGGTGGTAGGAAGCATGCAGGAAGTTGTCTTGCCTAATAGCCTTGGGATTTGGTTTCTTTATGAAGATTTTCAAGCAAAAATGCCCTTTGGATAAAATGGTTTCATACTACCATGTTGTTTGCTTAATGATTTCAGTGAGTCACTTAACAATCATCCTAAAACACATAAAATCTAGTCCAGTCGTGTGATGCCATGACTCAGGATTGAAATTCCAGTTCCAATTGTGGTGGTTAATTCAAGGACTACCTGTAATCTAATACCTAAAACTACACATTTAAGTGCATTACCTTTACAAGCAACAATGTGTTACATAGTTGCTTTTATAGACAATACATTTACATGTGTAGTTTTAGATACATCTTGTACCCTGTTTCTAACCATATGTTTCTCTACCAGGTACATTCCTACACAATAGGTTCCCATATTGATCCTGTTATTGACCATTTCTCAGTCATAGAAGTTGATGTTGGAAGACAAGCAGAAAGATATAAGCAGGTAATCCTCTTTCTATAGTCTAATGGTATATTAGTAATTCGGAGAAACCTGCTTTCTGCAGAATTTCCAAGCTTCAGCTACATCCTACCCGTATTTTCCTGAAAATAAGACCTGGTCTTATAATTTACCCCGGCCAGGGATGGGTGCAGTACTAATGGACACCCACTCCAATTCTGCAGCCCATACCAATCCAGCAACTAGTGCAATTCCAGCCACCGGCCATGGTCCCCCCATAGATACCAGTCCAGCAGCCAGTGCTGGTCCAGCCACAGGTCTGACCCCGCCAAAAGTGCCTGTCCAGCAACCAGTGTAACTCCCACCACCAGTCGCTGCCCCACCGCCAATAACAGCCCAAGAGCCCGTGTCAACTCAGCAGCCCATGCCGGCTCAGCAACCGGCCCTGCCAGCCCCTCTTCCTCCATGATTTAGAATGACCTTTGATGGGACACCAGGGTGGCTAGCCTATTTCCTCAATCGAATTCGTATTGGGGGCTAAGCTGCCTAAGCCAAAGATGTACTCCATGACGCCAAAAGAAATGAAAGAACTAAGGAAATGCATTGATGCCAATCTGGCTGGAGTATTTATCCAGCCGGCAAAGTCCAGAGTGATGGCCCCTGTGCTGTTTAAGGAGAAAAAGGACGGTGTACAACCCAACGAAGAAAAATCTGCTTGAGAAAACTGCAATTTGGTAGCTGTAGGGAAGAAGTCATCCATGCCATCATTCCCCCCTCACAACAAGCCACACAGGTCACCACCAGGGGCCAAGCCAGATGGCCAACCGACCCCAGTTGTTTTCCATTTGTCTAGATAGGTCCTAATTTGTTGTATCTGCTTACAATATTTATCTTCCTTAATCGTTACACATCTTGCTGTTAATTGGATCACTAAATATTTTATATTATTTGTGATCTGGATATCTACTCTGTTCATTAGCTCTTTTTTTTTCTGTAATATTCTTCACTAAAATCTTAGATTTTTCTTTGTTTATTTTCAGACCTGCCACCTCACTATACTCTTCTGTTCTTTTTAACAACTTAAGGCCTGTTTCTTGTGGATCTTCTAACCAGGTCATCTGCAAATGCCTGTAATTTATATTTTTCCTTTTTTTATTTCCACGCCTCTTATCTCCTTATCCTTTCTAATATTTCTGTTTAGTACTTCCAGCATCAGTATAAACAATAACGGGGATAGAGGACATTAACAGATTAACAGAGTTGGAAGGAACCTTATAGGTCATCTAGTCCAACTGCTCAAACATTTTTGACAAACGGTAGTCCAATCTCTTCTTGAAAGTTTCAAGTGATGAAGCTCTCACAACTTCCGAAGGCAAGCTGTTCCATTGGTTGATTGTTCTCACTGTCAGAACGTTCCTCCTTATTTCTAGGTTGATTCTCTCCTTGGTCAATTTCCATCCATTATTCCTTGTCTGACCTGAAAAAAGCTTGACTCTCTCCTCTCTGTGGCAACCCCTCAAATATTGGAACACTGCTATCATGTCTCCCCTGGTCCTTCTCTTCACTAGACTAGCTATACCTGTTCTTCAAATTAGTCTCCAGTCCCCTAATCTTCCTGGTTGCTCTCTTCTGCACTTTTTCTAGAGTCTCAACATCTTTTTGTAGTGTGGTGACCAAAACTGGATGCAGTACTCTTACTCTAAGTCATCTCTGTCTTGTGCAGGTATTATGCTAACCTTTTCCATCATGTCTCCGTTAATTATCATTGATAGTTGATCCATCATTCACCAGAGTCTCTCATTTCACTGAGACACAGTGTTGTAAAGGATCCCTCCACTGATCAAACATCTTGATATAGGATCACTCAGGCAATAAGGACAGGAGACCTTCCCACAGATCTGGCTCTTCTGGAAATTGGCCCCATAAGCCATTCACGCTGGTTGACAACTGCAAATAGACTTTGTCAAATATGGGTTTCAATACGTGGCTTTAAAGGCAAAACTCTCCAAANGATAGATAGATAGATAGATAGATAGATAGATAGATAGATAGATAGATAGATAGATAGATAGATAGTAGATGGATGGATGGATGGATGAGAGAGAGAGAGAGAGAGAGAGATAAGAGAATAGATAATGTAGATCAGTGGTGTCACAAATATTTTTACTACTGGTTTGGGCGTGTTCGCACGTGCACACACACTTACACACAATACTTCTGCACATGCGCAGAAGCGCCCAGACAGGTGGGCAGGGCCTGTCGCCGCCACTACTACCAGTTTGGCCAAACCATGTCGAACCAGGAGCAACCCATCACTGATGAGATAGAGATGATATAAAGATAGAGATAGATAGACATAGAACAGCAATAGCACTTAAGACTCATATACTGTTTCACAGTGCTTTACAGCCCTCTCTAAGCACTTTACAAAATCAGCGTATTGCCCCCAATGATCTGGGTCCTCATTTTACTGGCCTTGGGAGGATGGAAGGCTGAGTCAATCTGAAGCCAGTCAGAATCGAACACCTAGCAGTGAGCAGTGAGTTAGCCTGCAACACTGTATTCTAACCACTGTGTCACTATGGCTCAGTAGACACAGACATACAGGTGAACATAGATATAGACGTAGATGTACAGTAGATATACAGTATAGTGATGTTTGTATGTATTTCCAATTCATTCAGAACCCTCTGACCTCTTTCCTTCTTTTCTATGCACACTAATTCAGTAACCCATTCCCACATGCCCAACATTGGCTCTCACTATATAACAGAGTGGGCAGAAGAATGTCATCTTCTCAAGAAACTTTTTTTTTACAATAGACATATTATCCATAACTATTACACCAGAATAAGCAGGCATTGAAATGTTTCCATCCACCTGCCCTTTAGCAAATATTCAACCAATGTACGTAGACTAATTCATCTACTCAATCTAGCTTTTACCCATTTGTATATAACCTTCCTTCCATTTTCTCTGGTGTATCAACCATTCCTTTTCAGATCCATGTTCTCCAATGCATCAGATAATCTACGTAGCATTCTTTTCTGCGATTTTAGACAAGATGACTTTATCTTGTACTTTTTTTCCAATTCAGTAATAAACTTCCTTTCACATATTTATATAGAAGAGAATATTTGTAGCTCTGGGTTGAAGTGTGGGGTCCTTGATGGTCTTTGAGCTTGGTGGTTTTCTTGCAGGCATTTCATTGCCCAACTAGGTAACATCATCAGTGCTGAAGAAAATGACCAAGCTCAGAGAGCACCAAGGACCCCACATGCATATACATTTCTCACTGAACTGCTGCAGAGGAAACGTGTGGTCTCTGGGCTCCTTCTATAGCACATAGCTACACTGAACACCATGTATGTTGTTCAATCTCATATCTTTTGATGTTTTGAATGGGATTCTCCAAGTACCTTTCCAGGATTTTAACAAACTCATCCGCTGAAGCTTTTCCATTCATTCTTGTTATAATGTTGATTGAATAGGTTTCAACTCATATAACAAGCCTTTTTCTTCTGAGCAACTCAACCCATCCAGAAACAACCCAATTCATTTCTTAAATCTCTGAATTCGATGCTGAGGATGAGCAAGTATAATGCAGAATGAAGTGGGTGCTCCTCTCCTTGTCTCATTCATGGAAGCTATGCTCATCCAGGGGAGCATGATGGGTCAGTAGTTAAAGATGCTGAACTTGTCATCTGGAAAGCTTTCAGCCCAAGTTCAAAACCCAAGCGCTGTGAGATGGGGTGAGCTCCTGTTACTTCCTCCAGCTCCTGCCCACCTAGCAGTTCAGAAGTATGCAAATGTGAGTAGATAAATAGGTACCACTTTGGTGGAAACGTAACAGCCTTCTGTGCATCCTGGCACAGAATAGTGATGCTGGCCACGTGACCATGGAAACATCTTTGGACAATGCTGGCTCTCTCGGCCAAGAAACAGAAATGACCCCCTAGAGTTGGACACAGCTTGACAAGAGAAACCTTTATATTTATGTTCATCCTGATGTAGACCATCATCACTCTTATTTCTTCAGTGTTTCCTACAGTTCCTTCTTTCTTCACTTCAGTAAGTTGCATGACATTTGAAAGTGTTTATCCACAAGCCAACATGTATTAATGCCTGGTAAAGAAATATGTGATTTATTTCTGTCCCAAAAAATTGTTGTAATTTACATAGAGATGTAGGAAAAAGAGATAATGAGCAGATCTTTGCTTCTGACCCTTATTGAGAAATGATAAGTATGCTATTTTGTCCTCCTCGTTCTCAGATATTGAGATTTTTAAATGAAATATTATATATCACTTATCACATTATCTATCTATCCATCCATCCATCCATCCATCCATCCATCTATCTATCTATCTATCTATCATCTATCTGTCTATCATCTACCTATCTATCATTCATCTATCTATCTATCTATCTATCTATCTATCTATCTATCTATCTATCTATCTATCTATCTATCTATCTATCTA